GTGTGTGTGTGTGTGTGTGTGTGTGTGTGTGTGTGTGTGTGTGTGTGATGAGATGAGACTAGCTATGTTGGGCCAGACACCACACAAACACACTTGCTGTTTTTTGCAGAGCGGCCATCCGGTGGGGGGGTTGCTGTGCTTTTCTAGCTTTAATAAGTGTCTAATGGACTTACCTCGGTGTGAGGCAGCGGTCCTACAGGGCCGACAGAGCTCGGCCATGGATGACAGCCACTGATAGCTGATGCACAAAAGCAAGCAAACAGTTGAGCCCAGTGTTTACTGCCCATAGTAATGGGGACATAATTAAAAGCATCGCTCTGGCCTTCCATGTTCAGCAGGTGTTTTCCTCCATTGAAAACAGAAAATCCAATTCAGTGAGAGGCATTATTACATAGCTTTACCCTGTGAAGTGCTCGGCCACACCAGCAAATGTCAAATTCTAAGCTCAGACAATGGCATAGTGACTTTGGGGGTTGTGCAGGGGCCACCATTGGATACAGGCAGTTTTGTTTGAGGCACGAATGAGAAATTGACGGTGCTTCCTATTCAGCAGAACAGAGGTCACATAAAAGTGGATGCTATCTCAATTTTAGACTCTGCTCAGAGGGAAAGCAGTGTCACGTGGTCAACAGCGGAAATTTGCATGACACCCAAGTGTGAAAGCACCACTCAAATTTACTCGAGCTCCACGAGCAATTGAGGCAGTTCCACTGAAGTGAATCGATTTCCGAAAATGATGAATAAGCGAGTAACAGTGCATGCCCTTTCTGACCAACCAGCTTCCCCCCTTAGCCTCCCAGGTTTATGACTGAAATACACTGCTCTGTTGTTTTCAAACCAAAAGGTAAGAGTGTTTTAAGGGAACACTGTGTAGCATTGCTGGGAATCTATTGGTAGAAATGGAATATATTATTGATACGTTTGTTTTCTTAGTGTAGAGTCACCTGAACACAAGGATTGTTGTGTTGTTGTTACCTTGGAATAAGCTGTTTGTATCTACAAAAGGAGCGGGTCCTCTTTACGAAGCCAGCCACCATGTTTCTACGGTAGCCCAGAACAGACAAACCAAACCCTGGCTCTAGATAGGTACGTTTGCATTTTCACGTCCGCCACCGTAGTTCTTCTAAACGCAAGGCGCACATTTTATCTTAGCCGTCGGGTCACCATTCAAAGCAACTTCACTACATACGTCCAACATTGAATTAACCCTTCTAGGGCACGTTGTAGTGCATTCAGACTGTTACTGGTCTACGCTGTCACGTTCAGTTCAGTACAAAAACTAACCTTTACAAGCACTGCTCGTAAGGTTAATAGTTATTTACCACTGACTTATCAGACCAAAATTGTTTCAGTGGCTTTAGTGGTCTTTTATTGAGAAAGCAACGCGTTATCAGCGCTCCTCTCAGAGTAGAATACTTCTTGTTAAAAGACTCGTCGAACACCTCGACCTATTCTTATACTGTAAGTGAACTCATTGTACAAACAGCTTTCTGAACTGTGGACGTGGCTTCCAACTGTACCATTGACAAAACGTTTGCATTTGTGAGTGCATTTATACAGTAAGTGCTTGTGTCGGTGTCAGTGTGTGGACTATGGACAACATGCTTGTGTGTGTGTATGTGTGTGTGTATTCAGTATTCTCCATCCGCCCAACTCGCTGCTTTCAAAAGACAAAAGAGACACCATCATGAGTGTCTTTTGTAAAAGATAAACAACAGCTATAAGAGTCACAACAATAGTATTAAGCTGCACAGATAGCACCGGCTTCTTTTATGAGGAACAACCCGTCACAATAGACTAGCAAGCTGAGAGCAGCTAATAAAACGTGAACAATAGCAGAGCGGTAGTCGCAACAAATCTGTGTTGTGTCAAGAACAATCTGCTTTGCATGCCATTGCCTCTTTTGTGTGCCCTGTAATTAAAATATTTATCACTGCGCTCCCTCGCTGAAAGTGCTGCTATAATAGGACACTATCTGAATTGAAAATAGGACCGACCTGCGAAACCTTCGTCAGTATTTGCCACATTTCTAAAGTCACCACTCTTTATGCTGTGAATGACTGAGATAAAGGTAACACTTCAACAATTTCATGTTTCAGAGGTTTCCAGGAATGCAATTTCCCCAGTATTCCCAGATTCTCTGATTGTTTGACAGTTGAGTTAATGTCCAAAAGGATGTGTGGTAGCCTTCAGGAAACTGTATAGAAATGATGCTTTGCATCTTTCAGCACATGAAACCACTGAAGAGAAACCAGGAATGGTGTCCACATGCTCGTCACTGTAATTCTAAAGATTAACATGTAAGCCGAGCTTGTCCTGTTATAAAGAATCTGTGTGCAATACTTTTTAAATTGGATGACTAAATTATTGAAGCATCCGTTGGCAGCCAACCAGCTCTGCCCCAAGGAGGTTTGGAAATAGGTTGGCACTGCAGTGATTGGAGTTAGAAATGGGAGTACCACTAACCTTGATATGCATTATTAATAAAGTGGATGAGGCCTCCGCTTTTGATCCCAAACCTCTGTAGCCTCTTTGTGACATATCTGAGGCACTTTGTGGACGTAATCCAAGAGCCTGTCGTCAGCTTTGCGAAACTGATCCCAGCCCAGCTGGCATGGATCAAAAATGTGGTGGATCTTAATCAAATCTTAAAACTAACAGATTACATAAAACTATGAGTGACAAACATGACATTTTCTCACAACGGACATAAAAAATGTGCGCTTTCACTAGCATTTGATTCAGCAGCAGATAGTCTTGTCATCATGGCGCCGTTGCTCTGCTTCGTCAAGATGTGACTTAAAATAAACACACTCTTGTTTTGTTTTTTTTAAGGTGCAGGTTGATAGATTTTCATGAAATATTTTCACATTTCTTTTGAACTTTGCACTTCAGTCACTTGTGCTGCTCTGTTTACTCTGCGGTTGTTAACTCAGGCTTCTCGGTGACACTTCCTCTCCCTTTGATTCCTCGTGAAACACACTTCTCATCATACACACCGTCTCCAGAGCATCAGCCATACAATTGGCACTGCATGCAGGAGCATGTTCACACACTTTTCTGTGTTGATAGTGGCTGAAATGGTCACGTATCATTCCTCTGGCTTTCATCTTTCTGCCCCGTCATTTATTTCCAGCGGAATAGCCGCGTCAAATATTCGGTTCTGCTCTCCATTTGTTTTCCTGCCGAAATTTCAGCCCCATAACCAACCTGTGGCCGGTCCCCTCTCAGATTATCAGTTTTCCCTTTCTATTCTGAAATTGTATCCTTTTCAACTCCTGTGTCTCTGCCTCTCTTTGTACTCTGTTATTATCCTGGTAGGGTTGCGTCTTGCCGCGGGGCACAGACAGAAGAAGTTATAACCCCAGTGTCTTGTT